GCTCCTTTTATTTTTGGTATTCTGTTGCCACCTATTGGGAACATGTAAAGGAAGATATGCTTGCACTGTGGAGTTTATTTAGCATTTTTCTTGTGTTTCTTCTGCATATTTTACATTTTATGAAACTCTCCTCTAGGAGGAAAAAGAAGAATTGAAATAGCCTCCAGTGACCAGAGATGTAAATATTTTTAATCTATAAATCTATGTAAATTATTGTCTGCCTTGTAGAACATCAGTCAAAGAACAAGTTAGTGAATGGTAGCTCTGTAAATTTTCAAGAAAGATAACATTACCTCCGGTGCTCATAATTTAAATTATACACACTTTTGATTCTCTTTGATGTATGTAACTTATTTTTCTTTCTTGCTGTATTTTCATCTATATCATTCACATTAGGACCAGTCATATGCATCTTAAGCTTATTCTGCGACTCCTTTGTTTCTTCTGAGGAATAAAAAACATTTTGGGCAAATAGTAGACATTTTGCCAGTCAAACTGTGATGAAAACCTGCCTGTGTGGCTTTCTAATTTATGGACAATTAAGAGGAGAAACAGGTTTGAACAACTTTACTGAGTGTTCTGGAGCAGGCAGTGATTGATTGCGATCTTCAAACTTTTAATTTTGAGCTATTTTGGTGCCAGTTTGTTGGCTTTTTAGTTACCTACCACACTTCTGACTTGGGCACATGGAAGCAGTGTTGAGAAATGGGTACTCATGCGCAAATGGGAACGTTATCTTTGTGACGTTTTCTAATGTGTAACGAAAGCTGTATTACATGAGCATAATAATTCCAGTTAACTGAAATCTGAAATTGGAAGGGATGGGAACATGCTGTTTTAGTAGCTGAGAAGTTCCCCTTTAGCCTGAGAGAATCTTTTAGAATCTGTAGGCCTTGGAGCTGAAGCGCACGTACGAAGCTTAGAGAGGAATTTGTAGCATCTGTAACATACAGTTTGTTTTAACTCATCTCCTGTAAAATAGTAAGTTATACATTACACTATATTCAGGTACACTTTTCCAAAAATGGCTTCTTCTTTCAGTTTCTTTTAACCGCTTTGGGAGATTTTGAGAGAGCGAATATATTTAGTGGAGAAGAAAGTATAGACTTTGTAGGAAAGTGCTGGAAGATTGTAGTACATCTTCGTAAGTAGTCATGTGGAGTGTTTAATAAATTCCTCAAACAGAAGTCCCTAGGTCTGTACCTCTTAGTTGTCATGAAACAGATCTCTGCCACAGCAAGTTCAGAATTACAGGTTTAAAAGGAAAAAAGTTAGAAATATTTCATATAGTATTATTGTACTTTTGAAAGCTTGGTGAATGATTCCCTTCTGCCTTTCCAAAAGGTGGTGTGTAGAGTTACTGTGTACAGGAGTTTGAGGCTGGTTTGACTACTCATCGGGTTTATTCCTCTTTTTCAGCTTCTAGATCATGATGAAAGCATGTCATTTTAATAAGCACATTTTGCACTTCTTTGTGGCACATATATGGTAGTTATTTTGCACAGGCTTATACAATGGAAAGAGAAAGGTGAGGGGTGTACTCTGTGCCAGAGGTCACCGAAGTAGCAAAGATGGGGCTCCACGCCATTATGTATTCCTGCGTGGACTGTACGTACTGAGAAATGTTTAAAGGTTTAGAGTTTTTTCCCCTTAATTAAAAATGTTATGCTTTAATAAAAAGACAGTTTTGGAGGAAGTGTTCTTCAAGAACTAATTACTCTTTTTTTTAAAGACTATTTTAGATTTTATACACAGCTGTTTCTAAGGGTATTAAGAAGTCACAACACTTCACAGATTGATCTTTGAATTAATGCTGCCTAGATTAATTACAGCTTGCCCCGAATTAATATATGAAGGAAAGAATGGGGGTGAATGTTCTTTCATGATCAGTGTTAGTTCAAACATTGTGCCTTTCATGAATGTGATGTCTGTTGGTGTACCCCAGATTGCGCTCTTAAGTAGAGATAGCCAGGAAAAGGCGAGGCTGACATAGGCTGGTTTATTCTTTTTGGTGTCATCAGGAGAGTTCCGAGTTCTGTATCCAAACCAGCTTCTTGGAAAGCAGCTTGAATATCTCTGCTGCACCAAGTTGGCAAGATAATAATCTTAAGTTTCTGAGGTATTAAGCTTTTCAAAAATTTTATTACAAGCCTGGTTAAGTTAATGTGAAAGGCTTTTTTTATATCTTGTGTATGTTTACTACACTGCAGTATATGTTTATAAATGTGGTATATGTACTACCCTGCATTATACATTGCTCTCTATCTCGAATATACACAAGAGAACACTTCTGAAAGATTGATACACCTAGAAAAGTTTTTAAATTATGGGATAGAAAGATTTCAGCATTCTAAATACCTTAGGCCTGGTGAAGGTTATGCACACCCTCCTTTTTACTTAAGTCTGGTAGTGAGATGTGTGTGTTGTACTGAGATCGTCTGGTTAAGTGTTATTTTGGGATAATTTCATAGTAAGTGAACTCTTCCCAGGCTCATTTTGTTATATACCAGAACACTAGTTATGAATTGCACAGGACGCTTTCTTGGACTAAGTAATTGATTTACTCTTTTTCTACATTGTTCCTGGAGTTTTAGGATGAAGAATTGTTTTATTCTCTTAAGAGAATAAAGAGACCAAAAAGGGTTGAGAGGAGGGAAACAGTGATCCCTTCTGGCAGGTAATGAAGGGTAAAGATGAAATCGTGTGAGTAATGAACGTGTAGTGGGATCATACTGTTCAAGCTGCCATCTGACCCACTGCTCTGACTTAGCCAAATCTTTTCAGTAGAATTTTGTACCTTCATTAGGCAATTGTTTAACGATTGCTTGGTAACACAGAACCACTCCCAAGCTCAGCATTAACTACAGCGTTTCCTTGGGCTTTCCTTGAGCTTGGGCTGAGGCTTGTACAAAGAGACCACAAGTAATTAATGAAAAAGAAGAGACTTTCTGTCCACATTGAATTAGGTGAGTATTTATGAGCAGAGGCTTTACAAAAATGAAAGAAGAATCCTTTGCTCTTTCCTTTCTTCTTAGCAGTTTCAATCTAAGCTATGTTCACTTCAAAGGCCTTCTTCTGTAGTTGCCTCAGTCCTGACTGAGCTTGTAGCTGCCAATTTCAGCGGAAAACCTGAAGGTGTGGAGGGCCTGGGGCTTCAGCTGCTCTGTGTGTGTGTGTGTGTGTGTATAAATCCCTTTTTAAGGTGAACTAAAAGAGCAAAACAAGTATTAAGGTATAAAGAAATCCTAAATTCTGGAGAAGGAGCTGTACAGTTTAGTCTGTCTAATAAAACAGGAGTCTGTGTCTTGAGCTGAGATTGTAATTGTAGCCAGGCCTTTTCTCTTTTTCAGCTCTTATCATGAGGAAAAAAATGTGTATCAGCGGAAAGCATTGGTAAAAATTAGGGATGAATATTTCTCTTGAGGGTAGTAAGAAGTGAATTAAAGGTAGTGCCATATAAAACCATCCTAGTTTCATTGCTTTTGAGAATTGGGTTTCATATTTATTACTTCTGTAAAGAAGAATTGTAGCACTACTAGCAATAACTATTTTCGTAAAATAAATAATTTGGCCTCTTGAGTTAGGAGGAATGCTTGTGTAATAGAGAATAATTGTGGGTAATTGGTTCATTTGCAGTATGTTAGTGGCTAATACGCACTCAATCACATTTTTCTCAGTGACTC